GTCCATCTCCTCCTCCCACATCTCCCGGTACTGCTGCACCACCTTGTTGGTGAAGAAGGGCAGCGTCATGATCCGGCGCATCTTGCGCCAGTGGTCGCCGTACTCCGTGAACACCATGTCCTTGCCGTTGTCGGTGAAGATGTCCCACACCACGTTGCGCGGCCGGGAGCCGAACTCGACCCCCTGAGTGTGGAGCACCTCGGTGGCTAGCTTCGGGTCGGACACCACCACCAGGTTGCGCGCGCCCAGCCGCAGCAGGAAGACGTTGCCGTACTTCTTGGCCATGTCCACCAGGTTCCGGTGGTTGAGGTCGTTGCCGACCTGGAGCCAATTGCCGACGATGGGGAAGGAGACGGGACCAGGAGGGGTGTCAGACCCGGACCCAGAGAACAACGCGAATGGCAGCAGGAGGAGGAGAGGAAGGGAGAGGAAGAAGGGCGACAGGTCGGGGAAGAAGGACTTGGCAGCATAAGCAGAGGCAACAGCCACAAGGGTGATGACGGCTAACTTCGCCATGGCTTCCTTCCTGTGTTGCCAATGCTTGTTGAGACACAGTGAAGGGAGAAGGAGAAGAGGACGTGATTTTATATAAGCGTTTAGGCGAGAGTGGAGCAGAAGAAATCTTCGATGGTTTTGTAGGGTAATCGATGGGCTGCGGAGGGAAACAAGGTAGGAGAAGAATGGCTTTTGGAAGTCAGAGGACTCGGCTGAGTTGGTAGAGCAGATGTTGGTGGCACTTCTTTGACTTCCCTTCAGTTTACTAATGCAAGAAGAAGATTTCTATTGTTATGGGGGAAGTACTATGTTTCTAGGTGATCGACCAATAGAAACCAAAAGTACAAGCTTTTGAACAGTAAAAGAAAGAAAGAGTTCTCCTTGCAAACACTTGAAGGAGAGTGAAGAAGAGAGAGTTGGTTAAAGGACAACCCTAATTTTCTCTTGATTGGAAGAAAAAAACAAGAGGATGAATTAACAAGTATTAGCTTAGCATGTGTTCTACTCTGGAGACAGGTTGCATTTCACCGAAGAGCTGATTAGGTTGACACAAAGGGATTGTTTGACCGAGTGAGGTTTAAGACAGAGAGAGCAATCGAGCGCATGGTTGGGATGACAAATGCATGGTATATGGTATGGTTCTCATGTCACCCTCGTTTCTGCTGGCGTCCTTGGTTTTGCCTCGTGGTTTGGGCAGTATAATATTATGGAACTGTGTCAAGTGGGTGAGATTTTTTGTGGGTTTGGAACATTGATGATGATGATGATGATGATGATGGGACTTTGATTGTGTAGGTGAGGCAGAAACTTTGGTTGGTGAGATTGAGATCAAGAAGATAGCGTATGGGTCATGGTCCTTATGTTTATATATATATATATATATATATATATATATATATATATATATATATATATATATATATAAACTTAACTAGAGTTCTTACAAATCATATCTTAATAAGATCATTTAGTCTCACATTGGTTGAGTACGAGAACCAAGGACTTATAAGTCCGTCAAGTCTTCTTTATCTTTAGTATACCTTTTGTAGCTCACATGTTTCGAAAGGATAAAATCATACGGGTATATTGAAAGCGAATAACTTCTCGCGAACCTATGGACCGCACGAATGACCAATCAATCAAATGATCCCTTATCATATCTGATCGCTGATAAATATATTAGAAGAGCCACATTTAAATCTTAGAAACTCAACCACTATTAGTTCTAATTTTCAAAACAATTTTGGAGTGTTTATTCTTAAAATTGAAACAAAAGAGAGGAAATGCGAAATAGCTTCAAGATGCGAAAATGATACTCCAAATCTCAAAGCAGAATCAACGGAAAGAAAGAAACTATCCAACCCATGATGAGCTCATCATGAAGCCAGAATGCAGCAGCTCGTGAAGCCCCCACGGCCGCGTGGCTCAGAAGACGCTGCCTTCCCGTCGTCGAAGTAGACCCTCTTTCCTGCGAGGCTCCCTCCCAAGTGCCATATCACGCACGTGTAGCTCTCCGACAGCTCTTCCTCTTCGTCCTCCGTGGGGTCCGACCTACTCGCCTCGGCGGCGACCCTGGCCGAGCCGATGGAGATCGGCTCGGAACGGGCTGGCGAGACGCGGGAGACGGGGCCGCTCATTGCCGCCACGATCCCAAGGCCGACGGTGCCGCCGCCGTCGAAGCTCCTCGGCGACCTCGCCGTTGGTGTGCGGGCCGCCGAGTCGTCGGCGAACAGCTCGGAAAGCCCCCCGTAGAAACCGCCGTTGGCGGTTCGCTTCCGCTTGGGGAACTTCCCCAGCTGGTTTCCCCCTCCCCACATCAAATCACTTCTAGTGCTTAAGCTTACGACTCTACAACACAACTCCATCTAATAACAATAGCAAATAAAAGAAAGAACAAGAGGGAGGCTTCTACAGTGGTGTCCTTTATATTGCTATCTTATGATGGAGACTTTTGGGATTGGCGTCCGGAGAGAATAAAATCAGCAGAGAAAATTGAGTATTTAAGCCTCGGAAAGTAGTACAAACATTGTTATATTAATGTCATCATGCAGTATTAAATGCGATAAAGATCAGAACTAGACACCTATTGTTTGGCTTGTAGATTCATATACATGTGGTATTAACAGGTAATCTGTCATTTGATACTTCAACTTGTACTAAATTATGGATGTCCCTATCCTTCCCTGACTACTCAATTGCAGTATCAAGTTGATTGTGTTCTGTATCACATGCAGTTGTTCGCAGTTTAGGAAGTTCTAAAAGCTTGTGCTTATACTTTATATGAATTGTGCTGGAAGCAACAAGATAAGTAGCATAAAATAATACCTGGCAATGAGCAAGAAGATACTGAAAACCACTAGTTTGAGGTTTTAGTATTACCTTTGAGAGCTTTGTGGTATCGGCTTCCTAGTGTTCTGCTTGCTGATGAGATTGCAGCTCTGATGTAAAAAAGGTTCTCCTAATTTCTGGACCTCAAAAGCTCAAATGGATAGATGAGTGGAAACTACGAAGAGCATCTATCTTGAACAAAATGGTACATCCAAGCCAGAATATGAAAGAACAATAGGAAAAATGCATGAGTTTGGGATCTAAGGCATTAACTAGATGCGGATACAGAATGTAGAATCATTGCTTGGTAACAGACTTTTAACAGTTAAAAGTGCATGATAAACATATATCAGATTCTTGAATTTTAGAAAAACATTGTATGCATCAGATATTTACTAAAATTAATCTTTAGCAACTACATCTAGAAACTTATCAAACAAGTAGTAAATACCTGAATGAACCCAAACAAAACTTTTTCTGGAGAAACTTATCTATGCTTGCACCTGAAGTGCCAGAATGATGGCATGTAAAATGCATTTGTCATCTATTGGCTTGATTGGATGAGACAACTTTCAAGTGCGTTAATGGAAATCAAAGTCATGCAAGCATATAAGCTGAAATCCACTGCAATGTAGAAAAATGTAGTGGGTGCAGAGCAGGTTCAACAGCATCTACAAAACAGGCATTAAAAGTAGCCCAACAACAACTGAGTTCACAAGGATCTTGTACTATTCAGCCTTGACCATTAGTTAAAAGAGGTTACCATTCATTATAAACATTGGCAGCACAATGACGAGAAGAGCATTCTGGCAACCATTGAAAGCTGTACCTGTATACATAAAGCAGTCATTATCATTTGCTACAAAGAAAATAAAACTACTGTTCAGCCTAGACCACAAGTTGAAAGAAGTTACCCTTCATTTAGATTTTGGCAGCGCGACAAAGATCACTCAGGCAACCATAAGAAGCTGTACATCTATACAGAAACCAGTCACTAACATTTGCTGTGAAAAGAAAATTTGCCTACTGTTCTGCATTGACCATCATTTCAAAGAAGTTAACCTTTCATCATAAATTTTGGCAGCACAAGGGAGAAGAGCCTCTGGGCAACCATACGAAGCTGTACGTGTATACAGAAAGCAGTCACCAACATTTGCTGTAAAAGAAATTAAAGTGATTGTAATTGGAACAAATACTGTTAGTTCCCTTGATGAATACAATACAGCAATTTACAGACACACTTGTGCTGAAGAATGTAAACTTGCACTAAGGAAGTTACACACTAAGCCCCAATAACTAATAGGAACAGATTGTACAAAAACTTATGCTGGGTAATAATACCACCCATAATGTAATTAATCACTTCAGCTAACAATCAATGAATTAATCATCTAAATTAATAATGTAAAAGAGGTTGAGATTGTTGGCCATGCTGACCAAATTGATAGGTAAATTATCCTAATCTAAGGCTTGCCGTCCTAGTCTGCCTCCTGTGATGTTCTTGAAATCACATTGGTCAACCGCTGTGCATAAGATCCCACCTAAGCACCCCCTTTTATGAAACCAATCAATGGTGTCACATAAGTTCACATCTGGGAAGGGTACAAGAAAAGATGGAGTGGTGCACTTGCTGATTCTGCAAGATCACGTGTTGGAACTTCGCATCACAACAAGGTTGGGCACTTTGCATCAAGAAATTCCTTCAGCATCCGAGCTGCCTTCTGACCTCCCATGAGTTCTGTTAGCCTCTCAATGGGAAGAAGAGCAAGTTCGGCCAAGTTTTTACATCCATCCATCAATGCTCTGTAATTTGCATCTGTAACTCCAGGGAGACGCCTCAAGAACTCAACTGCAGAGGTATTATAATTTTCAGCCCTGAGACGACAACAGATTCATTAAATCTTAGACTATCATATAACATGTCGAAACCCAATGTAATATTCTCAGACAATTGCCAAGAAAACCAATACTGAAAGCAAAAGAACTGGTCCAAAATCCATGCACATCATATAACATAAAAAGCACAGCCCAGGGCACAAAGCTTCTGCCAATGAAAGTTTGGAAAGGATCAACATACACATTGTTATCCCTGCAAGCAGAGAGTGTTTCTATGACATGTCTAGAACTCTCTAAACATAACTCCCAATTGTCTAAGGATTGTCTTGATTCTGTCTATAATCAAAATGGAACTCAAAGGTATGAATACAAATAAAAAGATATACCACAATTTTGACCAAAAAATTGGATGAAAGTATATCCACAAATATTAGAAAATAGAAAATCAAACTGAAAGACCATCATCTAGGATCAGTTAAGTCAAACCCTTATAGGGAGTGAGTGGTTTGAGGTTCAACTGCTCCATAACACAAATACACATTAAATACAGTCATAATACAGTGACCTACAGTCATATATACAGCGACATAAACTTTTTTCCTTTTTTACTAAAAAAGAAAGCTATTATTGCTTAAATTAGACGAGTACAAAAGTCACCCCTAGCATCAGAGTGAATCAAGGATAGAAGATGAGAGGGTCATTCCCCTCTCCGAAAAAAGAAGCCTTGGTTGCTCTAGCATGGTTGGACAGCCAATTGGCCAAATCACAGCAACACAAACCTATATTGCTATATATGCAATCTTCATAAACACATTATCACATATGTGTTTACATTTCCACCTTATTGCTACGATTCTGTAATCATACTATTAGTACTGTTAAACATGGTCCATGACATTAAAACTTTAATCACATACGTTTATCCATTTCTTGTAACTTATCACCTAAACACCTTAAATGAATATACATACAACACCATAAGTTCTGGATTTGAACATATATTTATTATTTATCAATCATATATTACTTTGAATATTATTATGCAAAAAGGCATGTGCATCCACTTATGTGGGTACAAGTTATGCTAAATGACCGTCCATATACCACAGCCACTTGGTAAAACATTGCCTAGTTAAATATGTGGTTATTTGCTATGAATTTAGTAGTAAGACACTCATGTGCTTACCTTACATCGTTCTCCACAACACCGTCTTCTGATGGAACGCCTACTCTAATTGCCTTGCTCTCATCTGGTTCATCCTGATTTTGTTTGAGTGATAAAAATATTTCTGCTGTGGCATGCACATTGCGAGACCAGACAAGGCGCAGGCGAGGAAAATGAAGAACAAGCAACGAGAGTTTTGAAATTATGCTCGTTGGTGATACATCATCACCAATGTCACTTGCAGACTGTAAGAAGCCATGAGAAAGTTAGTGTCATCTCCAAATTTATCTAACCAAACCTAGTGTCAGCCTCAAGAAAGAAAAACACAATTAAAATGAGTTTCTGGCCTGTAGTCAAACTACACCTTGTGTGTTCATGACATAAAAGGGACAATTTGCTTTGTCATTCTCATCGTGCAGTTATTACATGTTCCTATATAAAAAATGATGGAGAAAACAACCTAAAGCCACTTGAGATGTTAGGGCACACTATTTGACGTTTGCAATTTACTGATACTTGCAACAAATATTACCTCAGCCCAATACTTGACAAATTGATAGTGATCAAGAAACTCTGGTAGCCAAAATCGATGTCATAAATGATGCAGGTGCAAAATTGTTTAAAAGTCTCCAATTAGTTATCCACCAGAGCTTGGAGACTTACATAAAATGTGGATAATAATTAGGGATGTTGATGGACCCCTATAACCAGAAACCCAACACAAAATTTTAGGCTTGGATCCTCATTTCGATCCAAGAACCTTATGAGATTGGTGACCAGGATCTGTACTGTGCCAGTGTGTAGAAATCTGATGCCAAACCCCAGTCCCACATGAAATGTCAGACACGGATACTCATTTTGGACACATAGGCTTATCAAAAATTGGATGTGGATCCTAATGGATATAACCTAAAATCAGCTGAATAACATCCCATAACAATGATGAATGTGTAATTATAGCATAGTCTTATCCATATGAACCTTTGTAATAAATTGTAAAGTAGCTCAAATAGAGACAAGATTTTATCATCATAGTACCAAAGAAAACAGAACATGATAGAATGGCAGGCTAAGAAGCTGAGAGCATTGTTTGTCAATTAGTAGATTGGCAATCAGAAGATTGTTCAGCGTTTGGGAAAAAGTTATCCAGAAGTTTAATGAAGCCGAGTTGGAAACATTAAGATAGATGAATTCCCTATCATAGAAGGAACAAAAATGATTAAATTTATGTTTCGTTCAACTCAATGGAAAATCTACATGATAGTTATTGGAAATAATGACTCTGTATAATCAACATGATAGTTATTGGAACTAATGACTCTGTATAATGAACATGATAGTTATTGGAACTGGATCAGAATGTCCGGCAGACTAGGAAAATCATGAACCGGACCCTTGGCTGCTCTAATCCCTTAATCAGATTGTTTGTGCTAAACAACCATACTGAACCAGTTGACCCAACCAAGTTTACTATCACTCATGAAAACTGAGCCAGATCAAATTGAACAGTCCAACTTTTATCTGTTATTGTTGAGGGCGTTTTAGTCATTTCCGAAATAGAAATGATAGTCTACTTTCTCAACTACCAAATGAGCTCATACAATGCTGATAGTCCTGATGAAACCCTTTAACAAGATGGCACTCCTCTTTTAATCTCCAAATGACTCCTATCATGGTAATACAACAAATCACAAGCATCAAAGTCTATATAAGTAATGGGAAGCAACCCAATGCGTTTCATATATAAAAATATATATATATAAGTTAAACTGGTGGCACATCCAGTTGACCCACTAATTTAACCAATAACTTGAGTGACCCTTGGTTTCTTGGATAAGACAGTTAAGAGGCATACATGATGAATAACAAGTGACCAAAGACCAACTATGAAATACCTGGAAAGAGAAGCTCTTATCCTGTGAAAACTCAATTAGAAGCACAGGCATTCTGTAGTAACGACTCATTGTTTCCACCTGATGATAGAGACGACCTGATGCAAAACTTTGAAACAGATCTGCTATGCTTTTTCTTTCAACACAAATCTGAGGCGAAAGTACATAATCACCAACTTCCAGAGTAACAGGTATGACATGCATGCCTTTCAGGTGAAGAACATTAGGAAGGCTGCTCATGAACTCCCTCATATCCACTATAACCTGCAAAACAGTTCAAGTAGACAGCACAGTCAGTTCAACTTCATAAGAAAATACTTGGAATATCTTCCAAATGATTTAGAAAAGGAAGGATATAAAATTGCCTGCATTTTTTTTTCTTGTAGCTTTCTACCACCTGCTTTCCTTGTTAATGAGTTCTGCGCAATAACCAACTGTGGTTCGCAAGAAGTACTAGGTCCAATACATCGTCCATTCTGAAAGGAGAACACAAATATGTTACAAATATTAATGAAGGTGAACATGATGATACACTTTCAACTTTCAAGATTTACTAACTGAAAGCTTGCAAAAATCTGGAATCATGAGATAAAGAACCATACTTTATAAAGCAAAAGATTTCATGATAATTCTATAATTGGACTCTTTGGGTAACAATTTGCAAAAACAACATATGAAGACTCTACTTAACATAAAGGAAAACAATTCTACCATTGCATTTGACAATCATGAGCAACACAAATATTATAATATCTGGAAGTGAAAGACAAGTTATATCGAGTTGATGATATCCAGAAAAATGTTTTAAAACTAAACATGATTTCTGTGATTCTGACCAATACAATGCCACTATCTTCAAATTTACTTATAAGCTCATCATTGAAACAGATTATTGCCTTTCTTACCAGTAGTAGAATTTAGAAAATATTCAATCTTGCCTATTAAGGATGCTTCTGCTGCCTTTTTGTTCCTTCAAAGGAAAAAAGTATAAAAAGTGCCAACTGACTGACCAACTTGGTCTACGGACTCATGCTCATCCTATCAATATCGGCCAGCAATATAGCATGACTATAGTCAAGAAGGCACAAGAATTTACTGGGAAAAGTTGATAAAACAGCCAATATGAGGTCGTTCTTCAAAAGATAGTGTGACGTTCCTCACCAAGATAATATTTATACAAGAGAGATTCTCCAAACAGCCAAAGGGGGCATGAGAATTCTTTCTTATTGATTGCAGTTTAAGCTCATGCAACCATGAGGAACCCTCTGACTAAAAGTGAAAATTGTCATTACAAACACAAAAGTAGTTTAGAACAAAACTTTACAATATAATCAATTTGAATATATTATAACTTACAGTACACAGGGTCTGGTCACAAATTAAACAATAATGACAAGCTAGCCTCTGGAGAACTTGTAGTAACGAAGATCCTTAAAGGTTCTCAAATGCCCTACTGAACAGTCATTCATACTCTATTAGCAGATAGTTTATGCACCAGATACTTTGATTCCATAAAAGAAAACTCCAGTTTAGTTCTTGAAGCCCATCATACAGAAAGAGCCATAAAACAATTTGTCTGCTAGGTTGCACTTAACTAAAATAAACAATAGAAATTCCCAAGGGAAATGATAACTACATTATCTCCAATTCATTCAGGACAGACGAATTCATGTCTAGAGATATAATAATTCATGCTTGCAGATAAGTGATAGAGGCAATACATGATAGGAAAGGATCAACAACTGAGAAAAGAGATAACATGCAGGGGATGCAATGGTAATGAACCAGACCTGATCCACTGGGATCATCATCAGTGATTTCTGCCTGATCAAGGATTCAAATGCACTGTTTTCCCTGCGTATGCTTGCCTCAAACTTTTGCACCTCAGCAGAGTCCTCATAAAACAAAAAGTAGACCTTTAACTTCTTAGAGGGATTCTCAGCTTTGTATACTTCTATTTCTCTAACAAAGGTCATGTCTGGATGATATACAATTATAACAAATGGGTTCAGCACATCAAGTATATGTTGGTCACTATCCAGTGCATAAAATTGCACAGGTGGAAGTGGCTTGATATGATTCAATGTTGCACCATGGGACTCCTCTTTATGCCCCTGAATAAGATCTTTCTCTATACATATGTTCTCTAGATTATTCACCTGATAACTTCCTGGGGATTTTCTTTCAGGGTCACTGTGTCCACCTTCGTGTTTTGAACTGGTCTTTTCATTTTTATCATTGTTATCTATCTGATAACTTTTAGCTTCAGGAAGTTGAGTCTTTGACAAACCTTTCCTCGATCTTCCTTTTCCTCTCGTTTTTCGAAAATCTTTCATTCTACTTTCGGACTGAGAATTATCCCCAACATCAACTTCTTTAGATAAAATGTTGATCTCTGATGCTGCAGCCAATAAGGCATCATTTTCATATTTGGATATGCTGCTAGGTTCTGAATTATCAGATGATCCAGCAGCAACCACACCATCAAGTACACCAAAACCTTTAGGTTCCTGAGATCTTTTCTTGTTGCGTTTCCTTAAACTGTGCAACTCCACTTTGCCTAGCAAGTACTTCTCCCACTCTTCCCGCATAACCTACATGTAGGGTAAGCCAAAAGAGAAGTAGCATCATTTCCAGATGTATTCATTAGTAATCAGAAACCAAACTTAGTTGGTTTCAACAAATCTTCTCTAAACGATCATAAAAAACAATTAAACTAGGAATATGCTGTAAAGTTCTAATTAAGATACTAAACTTAAACTAACGTGCAAATAATAGCAGACTTGTCAACAGAGTGCAACATCCTTGATCTGAAGAATGTATTAAGAAAAAAATCATGCTGGATTATGGAAAAAAGGCAATACAGAAAGGTGAATCACAATGCCACCACAATGTATTGTCACAGAAATATCTTTGTCGTGATTTGTCTGAATACAAATACTACTAGTTCCAGAGCAACACCTGCTGTGGGCTCCTTGAGATGCAATCTTCCAACTGCATGCATGAGTGTTCATCTTTACATGCAACCAGAACAATTTCACTGAGATCCCCTGCATCTTCTGCTACCATTTCTCCTTCTATAGGCTGAATGTCTTTTCTGCGCTCTTCTTCTATCTCTTCCAACAATTCCTGCAATTAAATTCCTTTTCTTGGTTACCTTAGGTTCAATAAATAAATAAATAAATATATATATATATATATATATATATATATATATATATATATATATATATATATATATATATATA